TTGATAAATTAAAAATAAACATGTCATATTTATCATATAAAGCTTTTAATTCCAACTTGTGCACGTAAATTCCTTGAAAACGGCAGTAGAATTAAATTGATTAAAAGGCGCAAAAAAAACGCATTTAATTAGCATGCTCATGGCACCTCATTTACGCCAATTAAACGATAGCAATACTTGTGCAAACATTGTAATAAATTACATAATTGAAAGGCAATCAATAAATATATAATACATACATACATACATATGTATATGTGTATACGAGTGCTTTAACCTGTGCATGTGTGGAAGTGTGTAGCAAGGCTAAATGTTGATACTAAAATATATTAAAAAAGTCAGTGCGCCTTCGAAGTTGTAAATTAAACAAGTCGAATGCTACAGTCTCTCTCATACATCTATTTAACCGACAAATGTTCAAAAATAATCGTTTTTTTAGACATTTGAAAATACAATGATTGATTAGAAGCGCGGGAAATGCCTGAATTTGTTGATTTTGTTATAGACATGATACATAATGAACTGCTTGAAAATAAAAGAATTACCTGCATAGGATCAACTATGTAGTTTTTCTACATGCATTAAAAATGTACAGAGCTAAATCATTTCCAATGAACTACCGGGCTCATACCCCATTTATAAGGAAGAAATAGAAGTGCCAGCCAGGAAAGAGATCAAATATATAGTACTTGTATATAGCCAAATCGAGAACTTATCAAACTAACTTCAACCCAGGTGCCAGATTGAAAACAAATCAAGAGAGCTTGTCAAATTAGACATACCAGGAGAAATATACCTAGACAAGGAGAAATACCTTGGAGGGCTGGTAATATATTAGTCATGATCTATGGAAGAAGAAAATGAAAATTGTATGCAAGTCTCACTGGAAGAAAATATTGAAGGCAGCTTAGAAACGAATCTGGGTTCCTACTTGTAAAAAGAAACCGAAATGGAAGGAAACATAAAAGCAATACTGAAATCAGATAAAAAGCAAATATAGGCAAAATATATCTAGGTAATGAATAAATAAAGAAAAGCTGAACCATTACAGTTTTAACAAAACAGAAAATTTAAAATTTCCTTAAACATTTATATTTTGGCTAACAAATAAACAATTTTAAAGGCTTCACGAATCATATGTTCATGACAAGAACGGAAAGAAGATTCCAATCAGTTGTGGGTAAACAAATCTAGAAAACGTGCGGTTCCAATCATCAGATCATCAGAAGCCTACCTTTAACACAATATCGAATTGGAGTGCGACCGCAAGGATATAGCAAAGAAGGATAAAATGGAATAAAAACGGGATTATAACAGGAACAAAAGAACGTTAAGGAAGCCAACACTGCCAGTGTCGATTTAATGGACATAAGGTATGTTTAATACGAATATAAGAATCGTCTACTAGCGGGGCCACACAAAAGCTTTGTTAAATGCTTTATTATGAGCTGTTAGCACAAATGTCAAAATTAATGACTTATGTCAAAAGTAACATCGTAAATCTCCACATTATTAATTTCGACTGACAATCAGGCATTGTCGTATTTTTCTTTGAAGTGGTGCCAATCGTAGCTTCCACTGTCAGATATTTCGGTCCAGTGTTATTTATTTAGCAAAAATATTTAATCATAAATATCACACAAACAGCGCCATCAGAAATTAGCCTAGAAAAAATAATAAATAAATACCATATTTAATGTCAGGCAGGTTAAGCCAATAAATAATCAGATTTTGGGGAATTTTCATCATAATTTGTTAGCGCTAGAAAAATATATAGCTGAATGCGAAAATATACATATTTCGAGCATGCTCGAAAACAAACATACATTTCTGGGAAGATATTCCTTTCGTGTATTTCAAATGTTGCATATAACTTTTATTCGAAATCGTGGCTGACAAATTGTTGGCACAGCTGTTTGTGTTTTAAATAAGCGGGCGGATTTTTCTTAATGACCCCCAACCGATTCAGTTGAGTTGTTTATGGCTTTTGTGTGCTGCTAAAGGCAGCAAAGCTAATTTCAATGATTCCTCTAATATTCAAACATGTGCTAATGCACAACTATATATCTATATATAAATCAAATATATAGTGCCACTATCTTTATGAATGTCTTGCCTTTCCCATAAATTGTACAAAAACAACAAAAAATATTTCACAATCTGCCTCTAGATGTGAAACTAAATTATGCGTGTTAGTCTGGCATATTTATTAAATAAAAATAATTAAAGGAGACATTCTCACAAGTGTTTTGTGTTGACATTAAAATGTAAATAAGAGATGTGATGGCATGAGAAACATAAATCAAGAAAACTAACTAACTAATCCCCAGAAAAATGTTTTTACGAAATGGCTGAGTTCTTTCGTTTTTTTTTTTTCAAAGAATTTTTACTCTTTTATCTAAATGTGTTAGAGGTTTATGTGTTCTTTTGAAATATTTCTGCTTAAACTAGAAAAACTCTTTTAAACAACAGAATTTTAAACACAACTAGGTATAGAATTCTAGGGAAAATGTTTCTATCCAAATTCAGGTTCAATTTTGATTGCATAATCAAACAAATCATTATCGGGGGAACTCTATAAGAAATAATTTGATTAATAAATGATTTCTTTTACCAATTATTGAAAAGAATGCCGAAACTGCATTTTTAAATTCCTGATATGGTTTTAAGTTGCATATTAAGACTGAATTATTCTACGACAAAGAATGTATTCAAAATTAAAAAATAAAAACGAATTTATTTCATTTCTTTTTTTTGCTTTCTTGAGAAAATATAAATATTTCATTTAATGTATTCATTTGGAACATTCCTAAACTGCATTTTCAGATTCAGGAAATGTTTTTACATACTAAATTAAGACTCTAATATTCTGAACTTTGATTCTACTACGAAGAATAATCTGTTGAAAGAAAACACTAATTTATTTAATTTCTTTCCTTCTTTCTTGAGAAAACATACATATTTTATTTAATTTATTCATTTAGATATTTTAGTAAACAAATGAAATTTGCGACACAATAATTTTCCATACAAATAAAACGTATAAAAAACGGCAGACTTTAAGTGTACCGTCAAGCTCTGGCAGAGTATGAAATTTGTATACAAAAAACAAATTAAATAAACAAATAAATAAAAATCTTAAGCTGTCCACCAACGCCGAAAACAATTCGAGAAAAACACACCGAAAATTATATACTCTAGTTACTTTTTCTGTGCTAACCCAAATTGTTTATTGAATATATAAAAATTATGCTGTTCACAGCAGCTATAGACGAGGGCAGCCTCTTATATTTCGAGAATAGAAATTAAATACAGTTTTATTGAATATTTAAATATACTTTATAAAGATCTAAGATCAAGGTGATCTTTGAATTCTAAATATGCCTGACAAGCTGTTGTTCAAACTATTGTTAATGCAGTTACATTAGGTTTCTTTTTGTTACCATGTTTTTTAAATTGTAGGTTTAATTTTATAAATATATTAGAAATATATATAAGATATTAGGACTATCTTTCTGTAAATTACAGAATAATGCAAAAAAATAAAAAAAAAACCTGGGGTTAAGCTGATTAAGAATATATATACTTTCTGGAATCGGAGATGCTTTCCCCTGATGGTTATATACTTTAGACAAACCTAATATACCCTATTCACCCTTCCGATATAGGGTATAGAAAATATCATGAAGGGCCATAAAGTTCCAGGAAACATAATTTAGCAGCTGTATGACAAATCGGCTGCATTAACTATACTCTTCAGGTAATAACCCCAAACAACAACCCCAACAACACCCTTGGTAAGGGTATCTATATTACTGACAGACGCATACTTAGTATATATGTATATATACTATATGCCTAATAATGCCCCCACAAAGCTTTTATGAGCGGACGGTTAATAAACAAAAATAAAGGCGCACACACGCCCCATCCTAAGAGCAAGTATAAATTTCTCGAACATTTTTCAACAACAAATATTTTTATTAGCATGTCGCGACATTTTCCAAGGCACATGTTAAAATGTAGCCACTATTTTAGCCATGCCCCCCGCCCACCACAACACCGTGTTCATGTGAGTGAGAGCGAGCGTGTATATGTCTTTAATTTAATTTATTAATCGTGCGTGTTCCCAGAGACATTAGAGTGCTCTTGTCAGTGTGGGTGTGGGTGGATAGCTGTGGACGCGCAACGCTTTAGTTGAAATGTGTCTATGCGGAATTTTTAAATTAACATTTTTGTAATTTCTAAACGAGCACACAGAAATAGACATACAACAACAACAACAATCACACACACACACACACACCCACACAGCACCTCTAAGTGGCTGCTGACTGACTAAATGGCGAGTGTGACATTTAAATCAAAATATTTTTGGAAATTTATATTAATTGCATTGTTTCATTTAGTTTTGTAATTAGTGGGAAAATGTACAACATCTTGATTTAGATGCTGATGAAATATAAATATTGTCAGACTAATTTCTGAGAGCAACAGAAGGCAGCAGAGCCAGCTTGGAAGGTACATATATGTATGTATATACATACATAGATGTATATAAGAATAATAGAATATTATACAATGGGCTTCTCAGCATTAGGAATTCTGACTATTTTGCTGATTTTACTTCCTAGTAGGAAGTTCAGCAATTGCTGATTTTTTTTTAAAAATATTTTAGCACCAGTCACAATAAAGTGCAAGAAGTTTTGTTCTCATCTTGACTCACTTAATGGTTTATTGAATTGAGGTTTTTGAGAAATTTATCTGTTTATTTTAAATATATATGAGAACGAGAGGTTGTTGTAATTGTAAAAGATAAACATAGACTCTTTACTTAATATACAAAAAGAACAACATAAAAGAAAGCCGCCTAACTACTTACCAATAGCTTCTTCTTTAAAAAAAAAACACAAAGATATCTAGTATCAAAATATACAGGCAATTTTATTTTATCAAAATATATAGATAAGTTTCTTTATCAAAATATAAATCTCGTATTCATGATAATAGGATCACCTCTTTTTGATCAACAAATATTTTTCGAACCAATTTTTGCAACGAATCCCAGAATATTGTCCAGTTAAAACGATTATTTTTCAGAAATGACAGAATTATTCCCAATTAGCCGGCAGACTCCAATTTATTTCATAATCCAGTGTCGGATTGACAAATGTTGAATGATGATGTGTATGTATAATATATATAATATATAGATCTCAGCATAGTCCTAGAAGATAGGCCGTTTCGTTATAAACTCAACAATATACATATACCAAATACTTACTTCTTTGAAGAGATGTGTGATGACGCTCAAATCTATTGTCCACATAAAAAAACCTTGTTTAAGAATTCCGTTTATAACACTACGTTTCATAACTTACAGCAATTCTCAAGTTACTCCCACTTAGTCGGCAGACTCCAATGTTTAATGATGTGTATATATTATACGTAGATCTCAGTATAGTCCTAGAAGATAGGCCGTTTCGTTATAAACTCAACTATATATACCAAATACTTACTTCTGAGCATATAGTATGTGTGATTATCCTTGACTTGAAAATAAAGACGGTTTTAAACTCAACTATAGGTAACAAATACTAAAAAAAACTGTAAATAAATTATCACTTTAAGCTTAACCTAAGTAAACAATAAAATTAACATTTTAGTAAACTCCTAAAACAAATACTTTAAATTTTGTTTGGTTAGTAAACCTTTTTTTAAAAACAGAACTCTTCGACCTCAGAAATAAAACTGAAGCGAATTTTTATTTGTTTTTGAAATGAAATAAAAGTTTTGGGTTGCTGTGTTTTTGTAAACGATTGCTTTGTTTTTTAACATCTATATGATTTATTTCATTTTTTGAAATATTTTTCAAGTACAAAATTATAGCTGTTTTAAACTTAAATTAATTCAAATATATAAAAAAGTTTGTGAAAAAATAAATAAACACAAACTATACATTTTTTATCACCACCAAGCACGCAATGTTTCTGAAACTTGAACCCAAAGGCAAATTAACTGCCTTAATGAAGAACAAAAAAAAAAAGAAAAAAATTGCTAGACATTTTTCATTAATTGGCGCCAATAATGTAATTACAAAAGCAGCGGCAATCCCAAACAAGGTAATAAAAAAATTATTATTATTAATTATGACACACATTTTATGGCATTGCGTGTTGACAGATTTATGTTTGTTTTCGACACAATATTCGTTTTATATTCCATCTTCTTCTCGTACTATTTTTATTTGCAAAAAGAGTTGCAAAATATATGAGTATATTCGTTTAATAAATTTAAACAATATAATAAACAGATAAATTATGTCACGCTTGGCTTTAGGCAATAAATTACACTCGCTGTACGAATACATTCCCACAAACTAATTTTGAATAATGAAAGCTATTTATAAAAAGCAAAAAAGTTCAAAGTAAACATTTTTGCATACAATTGCAGTGTATTTAAATTTTTTAACTCCCTCTAAAATTGTTATGTAGTGTATCTATAATGCCAATAAAATATTGTTCCAACCGCATACCTTTTCAATATAAAACGCCCAAGATGATGAAAAGATGTGTAAAAATTGCTCTTTTTAGAATTAGATTTAATCATTACAAATAGATTTTTCATTTCAATCACATTTCTTTAAAAATTGGTGGATAGTTCTTTAAAACTAATGCTGAGCTAAAGAATTTGGAAACTCCCATCTTGAAGATCGAAAACAATTCACATCAAATAAACGTGATGGACACATTCAAATCAGATCAGAACTCTATTTCTGTTGATTGATAAATCGATATTTGTCAGATCGTGTCGCTAGCCCCAGGATATATCTATATATATAGATATCATGTGAATAAAATTATTATTTAAATAAAGGCTTTTTTCACAATTATTTATAACAAAGAAGTGCCACTTTATCGTTTATCGGATATTTATATATACATTTATATTTTCGCTTAATGTTCAATATTTCCAATATTTCCATCTGAAATAGAGTCGTATAATTTTTATCCATTAAGCTTTCATCAATACTCTTTAAAAGAAAGAACGATAGATGTTTTTTGTTTTAGGTTTTATATAAGGTCTCCAAATACCATTTGAAACGAAGGAGTAGACTCCCTCAGAGTAGGATTCAGCTTTCAAATGAAACGATGAATAGAAAAAATATCGAACTATACTTGTAGTTCCATATCTTCACCCGAAGACTGTTAATTTTTTGTCACACAACCCTCGTATTTATTAAAATCGCAATATAAGTATATGTATGAATATATATTTCAAAAAACATACCGTAGGCGAATTTTGAATAGATATCTACCATATACTCCCTCTCTCCTACGATTATTTATCAAATGCATAACCGATTCAACACTTAATCACATCACTTGACAGCTCACATTAACCATAAACCACTATTTGCATATAGCTTGGTAACCTAACCTTTTAAAACTTTAATGCGCATTGTTTTCAATGTTTTTTGTGTATATTTACAAACATCGCGTAGCACATTTGTCTATATGTATGTATATTCAATCTGGATATAAATCAAATTGACAGCTGGGCCGCCAGCTTTTGCGCTAAGCGTTGGCGACCCCTTCATTTAATTTGCACATGTCTGTATGTCCGTTTTATAATTGAGGGAGGGGCGGTCTGGAGAGAGCGGAAAAATTACTGAAGTACAAATCAAGTTGCCAAGTTTATAGTATTTTACATTAAAGACGGACGGACGATCGGACTGACCGACCATCTATCTATCTGTCTATCTGTCTATCTGTCTGTGTGTCTGCCAATGCTGTGTATATGAATGATTGATTTATGCGTGCATTTAAGATTTGATTTGTGAGCTGCACAAAGCTAGATTTGAAGCAAAAACAAAACTATGTACGTGTATATAGCATTTGTTTGTATGAAAGTGCAAAAAACTAATTAAGTTCCTTAAAAGTGTGCCCAAACCTTTATGGAAAAAAAAAGCTTACTTCCAGACAGTCCGCTGAATGCCCACACCCAAAAATTTGTCCAAATCGTCTGCCATATACCGGACCACCCGGAAATCTGCTGCCAAATCGAAGCTGTTGTTTTCAAAAATCATTAAAATATAGTTCAAGTTATGAAATAATCTAAAAAAAAACTCAAATTATTTATGTAACACAAAATATTATTAAATATTTTGATTATAAAATTATTTACAGTTAATTCCTGCATTGAAAATACACATTTTCCATATCCATTTTACTAGGTTTCTGAAGGCTTTCGTGGAAACAACTCACACTATATATCTTTATCGGTAAGTTCCATTTACTTGGAACTTACACTTAGCAACTTGTGATGTCTTCTTCACGCCCAAATTTAAAAAAAAAAAAGCATGGGCCTTTATTAAAAATAAAATCATATAGGACTTAGAAATATATAAATGAAATTTTCACTTAAGATAAAAGTTATTGGCTTTTTTGACGTCTTCTATGTATAAGTTCTTATTAATTCCTAAAACATTGTCTATACTATAATACATATAATATAAAGTATAATCCGAATATCTTACGAGGCATTTTGGTTGAAATTTTAGTAAACTAGAGCTACACACGCACTAAAGGAGTATATATGTCAGATCTTTTATCTCTAGCTCTAGTGGCTTAATAGAATTCTGGGTTCATACAGTTCATACTTTGTAGATCACTTCCAAAGGTCTACATTTTACAAAGACTTTAAAAAAGTTTTGGAGGCTATTATTTCAGGCAATTAATTGTACAAAATAATGTAAAAAGTTCTAAAAGTTCCAAGCTAAAAATAAATGTAAATGTAAAGACATTACTATATAAACAGCTTTGAAAACAATTATCTCAGGTAATTAGTTTTCAAAAATAATCTAATTAGTTTGAAATCGTAAATTTATGTTAAATATAAAAAAAAAAACATGAAGTAACAACAGTATTTAACAACAATTTCTTTGTGTTTGCAAAAACGTAACGGTTTTGATGTCTTTGCCTCGAGCTTCTTGATTTCATAATTACCTACATTTGAGTTGCTTTTAAACTTATTTTAGTGCAAGCCATGCATAGCGATTGGCTTTATTTCTTAAAAGCAACACAATAAATTATTATTTATGAAAAAATATGCAAAATGTTAGACGTGCTTGCATTGTTGTTGTTGTACAATATTTCAGCACTTAATCATAATCAGCTGTCGCGTTACTTCCTTTGCAGAAAACAACGCCAACACGAGGCAAATGCTATTCACAGTTGGCTCCGAATGTTATACGAATTGAAAACGAATATCTTGTGGTTTAGTCCCCCAAAAAATATTATGCACATAAATCATAAAAATTTTGACATAGCCATGATTACAACAACGATATATGCGAGTGTGTGTGTATGTCTGTGTGAAAATATGAAGCTAAACTAGCGTCTTGGACCTTTCAGCTTCCATGGAGCGGAGAAACAAATCGTGTCAGAAGGTGTTACAGCCACTGACAGTTATTCTCAATAAATTATGACAACTGACAGCTACATTTATAATGCCGCAACTCTTTCGAATGCATTGCCGAGCACTAGAAATAAATTACTTACACACACACACACACACACGCACACACACATACAACACTCAAGTGTCAGTTGTCAGATTGTCAACCAAGCGAGCAGCAAAGTCACAATATACATACACACACACATACATACATACAATATGCTAATTAATTTGACCGCATTTAAAATTTATGCAAAGCAATTAACTTAAATATGGCGATTGACATCAAAGATAATCAGAAGCGAATTCTCAACGCTCAAACAACTTCGTGATAAAATAAAATTTAATAGCGTTTAGCGAGGCAACAACATCAGTTAAGGCCAACGCGTTTGAAGAGCACAATCACATCATTTGGGCCATTAGCATAGATATGGTGGTAGAGGAAGAATGTGGCAAAAAAAAACAAAAAAAACCTAGACTACACATTATGTCGCACAAGAAGATCTGTTCAAGGAAACTATTCTAAACGCTCTATTTATGTCTTATTGCATTTATAAACAAGCTGGGGGTTTCTTATTTTTAGAATTTATTGAGTATTTCAAAAATTATTGAAGATTCTCAAGAAAGAAACAGAGCTGGACTGCCTTTAGACAGCTAAATTACGTTGTCCAAAATTAACTAAACTGTCTGCAAATAGCCCTTTTTAGTAACGCCACAAAATTCTCGTCAAAATTCGATGACAATCGCACGTAATAAAGTCTCAGGCTGGACTCTCTTTAGATATTTCGCATAAGTTGGATTACATTCTCCCTACAGAAAAATAATTAAAAACTTGTTTTCACACATTTTAGAATTAGTTTTTGTTAAAAAAAAACGTATTTGTAGAAACGTACTTACGTAAAATAATTCCCAGTTAAAGAAACAACTACAAAAAATATTTATAACATAACAACTACAAAAAATATTTATAATAATAATGAATTATTATATTAATTATTATATTA